CTCTAGTGTATAACAGCCACCTCTCTTTAGTTTTCGATTTGAGTTCCTTTTTATGGCGTTATTTTTTGATAGAGGTATTGATTTTGTTCGGATTCACATTTTGTTTAGGTTTCTTTCCAAACCAGGTCATGACTATGGGAAGTTTGGTACAGGTAACAAGGTGAGTATAATTTCGTATTATTGGGATGTCAGTCAGGGCACGTCGTACGTTGGGAATCCCCCAGCAAGAGGGTCGTGCTCGGCAGTGAAGGGAGGGAGGGGCGTACTTGCTTTTGATAAAATGTCTTGTTTAATCTTGTTCTCATTTTTTCGTTCACACTAGATACCCCCTGGTCGGCGGCGTTTTTTCACTGAAGAAGTGGCTGCAAAGGGAGGATACAGGATAATGGTAGTAGGTTGGGGAATGGAGAAAAGAAGTCGTACAGCGAAACTTCCTTGGAGGCTGTAAGGTTGTATTTTGCAAAAATTTCCAACAAGACGTGCCCTGTTGTCAGTTCGTGGTATGAGTCATTTCGAAACTACTTAGTTTGCAGAAAACTTTGATGGAAGATGCTCGCAAGAACGGTATTGAACCAAGAGAAGCGTTGTTGAATTTCCACAAACAATGGTATAGCTCTAACATGTAAGTGTTGGAGTTCTATAATCTGTTTCTTTTTAGATATTTCAGCACTTATTTAGTCCAGTAACTATTCAGAGCTGTTAAGCTGTGTCTGTAATCTCAAAAACTATTGCTTGCTTGGCCCCAAGTTTTCTATTGATTACACTGTCCATTTTTTCTATTCCAGTATGTCGTTGTGTATTGTCGGGTCGGAGTCGCTGGACAAAATGGAATCGTACCTGGGCACTTTAGGCTTTGATGCTATTGAGAATAAGAATGTGAAGCCAAAGGAATGGCTGGAGAGTCCTTATGGAGAGGAGCAGTTGGGAAGGCGTATCGAGGTTGGTTCGCTGGAAAATACTGCTTTATTTGGGCTGTTCGCCTTGGGAGGGGCACATTGCGCTTTCGCTAGTTACTTTTGTCAGTACATGTTAACTAACTCACTTTGGTCAGACCTTGTAAACTCGTGTTGTTGTTTTCTGTGAAGGCGATGATGTGAAAACTTTGATCAGAATGGCGCATTTCATGAAATATAGCGCCTTGTGTTGATTAAGCGATCCTGAGCCTCCCAGATTTGTCTTATTTATCATTTTTAGGCTCACTTTGGCTGGGGGAGGGCATTTTTCCAATGGCTGCTTCCCATTGTCGTGTTCATTGCTTTGCAAGAGTTGACAGCTATTCTTTACAAGTGTTAATCAGTTGTTTCCACAAACTTTTTGCAAGTGTTAGGCTGCGTTTATACTTTGCGGCAGCGTAGCGTAGCGCTTCCAGCGTACGCCAGCGGCAGTGCCGAAGAGAGGATGCATATCGATCTAGCTTCACCAGCGTCACCAGCGGCACGCTGGCGTAGCGAGGGCACGGGAAGCATAGCTATCGATCTAGCTTCACCAGCGTTTCTCGAGCGTTTCTCCAGCGGCACCAGCGTTTTGCTAGCGCTTGCAGCGGCAGGGAGTAGAGACTATGTGGCCGTGAGAGACGCGGAATCGACGTGTATTGTAGAGACCATGTGGCCGGCAGAGACGCGGAATCGACGTGTATTGTAGAGACTATGTGGCCGTCGGAGACGCAGAAGCGATGTGCATTGTAGAGACTATGTGGCCGTCGGAGACGCAGAAGCGATGTGCATTGTAGAGACTAAGGGCGAGTGAGAGACGCGCAATCGATGTGTTTTGTACCCTCCAGCTCTCCCATAGTCTCTACTCCCCTGCCGCTGCAAACGCTAGCAAAACGCTGGTGAAACGCTGGAGAAACGCTAGCGTACGCTAGCGCACGCTAGCGTACGCCAGCGTGCCGCTGGTGACGCTGGTGAAGCTAGATCGATATGCATCCTCTCTTCGGCACTGCCGCTGGCGTACGCTGGAAGCGCTACGCTACGCTGCCGCAAAGTATAAACGCAGCCTAATCAGTTGTTTCCACAGACTCTCGACTGGTATCACTTCACGGCTTCGCAAGATTTCACGAATTCTCGATGATTCGACAAAACAATGGAAAGCAGCGAAAGTGCAAAATGGCCCCCCCCCACTCTCCGGTTGCCGAACTGCGCCTAGAAATCGCACTTATTAGTATATTTTCTAGATGGTTTCCTCTCTAAATTATAGACTGATTTCAGATTGTGCCCATCAAAGACTCGCGTAGTCTAACAATCCGCTTCCCCATTCCGGACCTGCAAGAAGAGTACAAATCAAACCCTGCTCATTATATTTGTGAGTTTTTGCTCACAGTGGTTCTACTAGTGAATTCCGAGAGTTTCTACGGCCTACATCATCGTAAATTGATTTGTTTGAACCTTTCTTTCAGCTCATTTACTTGGACACGAAGGGAAAGGATCACTGTTGTCAGAACTGAAGCGTTTGGGATGGGTAAGCTCGCTTTCTGCCGGTGAATCCACTTTGGCAAAAGGAATGAGCACATTCGATATTCATGTTGATCTCAGTGTTGGTAAGTGATTTTTCTACCAGTTACTCCTTCTCATGCAGCTTAAACCTGGATAATTCAAACCAATGACTTATACGTTACCAGTATGGTACCAGAGTAGACGCCTCCTTCTGTCGTCCAGCGTTTGCTGCGCGATTTCTGCGCTACTCACCTCCGAGCAGCATGTAACTAAACACCTACTAGTTGGGTGTCTTATTCAGGGGCAGTTTGTTTTGGTGTGGGCACCAAAGGGTCCATGGAATGAGCCCAACTCGCCGCTTACCACTAACTGTTTTCTTTCTGAATCGATCACTAGGCAATTACGACTGGTAGAAAAAGCCTGCTGGAGACATCCCTCCCCTACCCTCCCTCCCACCTCCGCTACTGAAAGCGGATGAAAGATAAAGAAAGGATAAAAAAGAAACTTAAACTTCATTGGTGTAGTAGTTCCTTGTTTCAGATGGCCTTAATCATACAGAAGATATTGTCAGCTTAGTATTTAACTATATTGGTCTACTAAAACGTACCGGTGCTCTGTCGTGGGTTCAAGAGGAGCTCAGTGAATTGGGAGAGCTTAAGTTCCGATTTAAGGTTTGTAAACTTTATATTCTCTTGTTTACTATGCAATAAACGACTACTTCATTAGCTTCTTTCCATTTCAGGACAAGGAAAATCCGATGAGTTTGGCTACGAAGCTGGCGTCTGAACTGAAGCAAGTACCTTTCGAAGATATTCTATCGTGGCACTATTTGTTAACAGAATTCAATCCCGGTATGTTAAGGGTTAGTGCCTCCTCAGCACTACGACTGATTTAATTTGGAGTAATTTTAATACCTAATATTGAAATTTTCGTTTTTGAAGCATTTTTATGTGCTTTAGATCGTATCATGGAAATTATCGATATGCTAACTCCTCAGAATATGTTTTACATGGTGATTGCGAAGAACTTCAGCGGTCAGGAAGGAAATACAGAAGAGCCAGTCTATGGGACAGAAATGAGAATCAGTGACATTAGTGAGGTACTTTGGTGAATATGCGCCAGTTCAGCAAAAAATGGGGTTGGTTTGTATTGAACTTCATGGGTTTCACAGGGTACGATGAATCGATTCCAAGCAGCTATAGAGACGGTGCACCCTGCGCTTCATATGCCAGAGAAAAACGAGTACATTCCGACGAAATTCGATCAGAAACCTCGAGAAGCAATGAAGAGGTAGGTACTCTTCCTTATCGTGGAGGTTTCATTTGTTTGTATATTGTTACTCCCTCATTCTTATTTCACTCATTAATTGCTACAACCACTAAAATCCATTTTTTTTCTTCGTCTGGAACTTTGACTAGAGGAGTTGCTCACCTTCCCTATTACGATATCAAAATCGCTTTGGCGTTGGCGCCACTCAGCGCCAGCAACTTTTGACCAGAACGGATAGAAACTTGCATACAGGCTTCATTTGACACGCTGATTAGGGATATTGCATTCTTTGACACCACCTCCGTTTCCCTCCAGAGTATCGAATTCGGTACAAACCTGGATATATGGGTAGCTTGACCACTTATATGACCTTAACTCTTCTGGCATCAGAGGTATTTAGAGCTGTATTACCCGTAAGGCTAATCCTGAGAGAATGAGGTTCCTCCCACGAGGCTTAGTTCAAGGCGAGGCTAGACCACCCGTTTGCTCTACGCTAGCTGGGGCGCCGAAAACGAATCTTATTTATGGATTGGGACGAGGAACAACCCGGGTATGTAAATTTGTAGCGATTTTGGCAATGAAGTTTATGGCACCGAATTGGCGCCAAATGGCGCTGTCACTGAAGAGTGTGGCTATATCCCTGGTCAGGAACCTCGAATACCAAAGAATGCGCATTCATAATGAGTTTTACTAAAAATCGTGGTGCTAACTTGGGACTAGCACCATTTCAGCGCCAAAAGACGCTGACTGTACTGTGTTCGCCATATACTGCTGATGTACATGTTTATAATATGGATTGGGTTGAGGCCGACTGCCGGCGCCAAAGGTGAATGTTATAGTGTGATCATGGCGCTAGTAGCCCCTATCAGCAAGATTTCAGGAAAATTGGAGTTTCAAGGCTCAGGTCTTAATAATTGATCAGTGCCCATGTTTTCAGTTGAGCAACAGCCCCTTTGAAGGGTACGGTAGATCTGTAAATTTGCTACGTTCTTTTGTTGTGGGTTCGGTTACAGGGAGCTTGTCAACCAGATGTGCTCTCACTGCGAGGATCCAGGGGTATTCTTTCGTGGCATCTGCAGTAGTTGAAGGGAGAAGGTAAAGAGGAGGGAACAGAGAAGGAAGGAAGGAAAAGAAGGAAGGAGGAAGAAAAAAGGAAAGAGAAGAGAAGGCTCCGCGGTTGACAACTGCCCTGAGACGGTGAAGGCATATATGTACAGTACCAGCAAAAAGCTAGGCACGTTACGGCAATGTGCTGCATCGCCTGTGAAGGCGGGTTTGCATGAATATTAATGAGGTTATTAGCACACAAAATGTGGCATGATATCAGCTGTCTGAAAGTCATAACCGACGGTACTTCGAAACAAACTGCGAGAATCCCAGAACTACTTTGTGGCTCGGAAATTTATGTTGAAAATCCCAACGGAAACGGAAACCTCAGATTTGGTGTTCTGTGACTTTTCAGGAATTAACTGTTGAAGTTTCATGTTCTTTCGCAGTAAGCTCCAAAGTACAGTTGGTTATGACGATTGTAAAGCTGACATCATGCTGCATTTTGTGGTTGAATGGCTAATATTTTCATAAATATTCATGTACGCCCACATTCGCAGTCAGCGCATTGCAAGTTTTGGCGCGTCTATAGCTTATTGTTGGTGCTGTATTAGTATAGGGGTTGGCTTATGGTGAACGATATGATTGACAGCAGTCGCTCGACTGGTATCTGGAATCTCAATTAATCTTATCGGGAAACCAGTACATTCCTCGACTGCGAAGCTTTTTGTGGTAGTTTTGAAAGGCATGGTGTGACCGATGAACTTTAGGTGTGATAGTGATCACTAACTACAAGGCGGAGCTAACATGCGTGTAGCGCACGATAACAGTCCATTTTTACGATTCCAAACAGACGAGGGAAGGGTGGTAGTTCGAAATTATCATTTGAAATGAAATGTGTACCGACTGAAGGTCCTCGGACGAGAATTACGGAAACGGATCTTCCATATAACTGCTGCGCACTGCTCAGACAAAAGTTGCGGAGCTTTTTCTGGGGAAGCATACTCGCATTCAGTACCAATTGGTGGCGTAATGCTAATAGGATCGTAGCAGCATGGCCGAGTGGTTACGGCGTAGGGCCCGCGAATGCGTGATCGAGGGTTTGGATCTAAGTGCTTTTTTGCATTTTTTCGA